GAGAGAGAGAAAGAGAGAGAGAGAGAGAGAGAGAGAGAGAGAGAACACTTTGGTTTGCTCCGCGCCGCAGGAAGCCACTGCTCTCCCTGCTGACCCTCCAAATTCAGAACTCGAGGATCCATCCACACTCCTCAGACATGGCTGCTTTCCCAGGACCCCCCACCCCCATTAGAATAAACACAATTTACAAGTTCTTCGCAAAAGGTTCTCCTGGGATTTCTGATTTACTCCATCCGGGCTTGTGGTTTATTTTTATACTCAGAGGGGTCTCCTATCCAAAAGAATAGCCACAGTTCTAGCACTGACAGGTAGAAACTTTACTGACCTTTCATAAATCAGTTCAACACTCTGGTCTCTAGGGATTTGCCAAAAGATAATGGGCTGCAATTATGAAACCATCACCAGGAGTTGCCAAGCAGAACCCTGGAGAGATTTCTGAAGTCTGCAGACACTTTCCAAGACAAAAGAGGAAATCATTTCATGAAGCAGCAATGTTGCCTAAATCCAAGCAAGAAGAGATGTAATGCTGGCTTAAATTAAAGTGCTAAGAAATAGGTGTGGTGAACTAGGAGGTGTGGTGCAGTCTTCTCCCATTCCCCCAAAGATTCCAAATTCACTCAATGATGGATAGACCGCTGAATACCTTACTTAAAGATCACAGCTCTGCACAGTTCCGGGGACTGGTAGTAACAGACCTGTCCTTCCTCTCCTCTACCCTGAAACATGTGCTTTTCATACTACAACTGAAGATGCCCCTTTGGGCAGGGCACTTGGGAGCCACCTTTCCCAGGAGGAAGAGGATGGCTGGAGCAGGGAGGTCGCAGGAGGCAAGCTGGGCTCAGCCAGGGAAGCTCTTCCAGTGGTTCTCAACCTTCCTAATGCCGCGACCCTTTAATACAGTTCCTCATGTTGTGGTGACCCCCAACCATAAAATTATTTTCGTTGCTACTTCATAACTGTAATTTTGCTACTGTTCTGAATCGTAATGTAAATATCTGATATGCAGGATGTATTTTCATTGTTCGCGACCCACAGGTTGAGAACCGCTGGTAGCCTCTCTAGTTCCATGGGGAGAGGCACTGCTGCACAAAAGCTGGGGGAGGGCTTTGAGGACCCAAATGTGGCTCCTGCTTTGAAGGCACAATGCAGCAACTGTAATAGAAGAGTCAAGAGTCTTATAGGCTTTCAAGAAAACTCAGATGTATTTGCATCGCCCAGGTGGCAGCCTGAAATTGGCACCCAGTTTTCTGGCCCAGACTGTTTCTCTTCCCCTCACTCTATCGGTCTCATGTGGGCATCCCTTCAGGTTTCGGTGGCACGGAGTGCGCGATCAGCTGCAGCAGCTCCAGAGCACAGCATCTCCAGGATGGAGCTGCCTCAAAACAAATTTTTCTGGGGGGTGCAGGGTGCACAGGCCGGGCTGACCAGATCCCTTCAAGGTCCCAGCCCTAGGGTCTGTCAGGGGCTTTCCTCCACCGTGGCCGCCTGCCTGCTGGGGGTCCCACGCCCCTCCAGGTACACCAGGGTTGGGAAAAGCAGCTGCTACGGAACAGCAGCTGCTGCCAATGATGAGAATCACCCTCCAGACACTTCCCCTTGAGCCTCTTCATTATGCCGGCACAGATGAGTAGCCCTGCGTCCACCTGAGGCGGGAAGCAACCCGTCAGAGCGCACACACTCGTGGATCCTCTCTCTCCCTCTACTCGTCCCAAAACGGCCCTTCTAACCCACTGTTCCCACGGCCGCTGGCCCTGGAACGCGACCTTGAGGCTGGAGTGGGGACAGTAGGACCCCTTCGGGGCTGGCACTTTGCTTTGCCAACCTCAGCCCCTCGCGCAGGCCACCAGGTTGGACTCGCGTGCACAGAACTAGCGAGCGAACCCTCTTCGGGGAGACGGCCACACTGCCCGGGGCTCCCAGTGCACGGACACTCCCCCCAGCCCCATGCACACCCTTCCTGGGATCGCCCCCAATGCTCCTCACCTCGCGCAGCAGGCGCTCCAGGTGCGGCTCCGCCC